CCATCTGTACATCCATCTGCCTACCTGTCTATCTACCTGTCTGTTCATCCATCCATCCACCCACTCATTGTCCATCTACTCATCCATCCATCCATCCATCTAGTCATCTGCCTGCTCAACTGTATATCTACCCATCCATCCATCCATCCACCCACCTGTCTACCCATCCATGCATATATACCTATCCATACATCCATCTGCCCACCTGTCTGTCTACTTGCCTGTCCATCCATCCACCCACCCACCTATCTGTCCGTCCATCCACAAGATGTTCTCTGAGTGACTTGTATGTGCCAGCCTGATGCTGGGTGTTGGGGACACAGTAGGGAACAAAGCAGACATGCTCCTGTCCCCATGGAGCTCATAATACAATACACAAGTAAAAGATTCATGAACAAATGAGATAACACAGTGTGGTGGGGCCTAGTAGAAAAGAAACAGGGTGGTGTGATTTATCAAGGAAGGTCTCTAAGGAGATACCATCTGAGCTGAGATCCAGAGATGAGGAGGGCCTGGGTTGATGCAAATGAGAGTAGCGGTGGTGGAGATTGCCAGAGAAATATGCAGCAGGTGCAAAGGCCCTGAGGCAGGACCGAGTGTTGGAGGACCAGTAAGGATTCCCGAGTGGCTGGAGCAGAGTGAGTAAGAGGGAGACTGGGAGGAGGTGAGGGCAGGGAGGTGATTGGGCAGATCCTGTAGGGTCTGTGGGCTATGGGGAGGAATTTGGATAATTTCTTCCAACATTTTATGATGAAAAATTTCAAACTTACAGAAAAGTTGAAAGAATTTACAGTGAACATCTGTATACCTACCACTAGACTCTACCATTCACATTTTGCTCTATTGCTTCATTTCACATCTGCCCATCCTTCCATCCCTCTATCCACCTGGCAGTCCACCTTTGGGGTGCCTTTCAAAACAAGCAGCAGACATCAAGTCACATCACCCCTAAACATTTCAGCATGCAGATCATTAACTAGAATTCAATATTTTTTTTCCTTTCAAGGTTAAATTTACTAGAGAAAAAAATTCACGTGAGGTATACGGTTGCTGAGTTTTGACAAATACAAGCACCTGTGTAAATCAACTTCTGGCCACAAAACGTTCCCGTCCCTCCACAAGGTTCTCTCTCGGGCCCCTTCCTGGTCAATCTCCATCTCCACCGTCCAAAAGGAACTTATGCTCCAATTTTTTTTTTTTCCATCACAGATTACTTCCGTCTCTGCCAGAACTTCGTCTAGATAGAATCACAAACCCTGTCTTTGTGTCTGGCTTCTTTCACTTGTGTCATGTTTTCGAGGTTCATCCCCGTTGTTACTTCTGTCACCACCAAGCAATTCTCCGACACCAGCTGGGTGTCCTACAGTGCAACTCAAGTCTGACACTAGCTACCTGGAGATACACAGGTGGATGGCTCTGTCCCAGACTGCACCTGCCGCGCTTCAGACGCCCATCACAAGTCCGGATTGTCACCTGTGTGTCTGACCAACCAGCTGGAGATCAGAGGTTCCCACAGTCCCCTCCTTGGGTTTGATTAATTTACTACAGCAGCTCGTAGAACACAGAAAAACAGTTTATTTGCTAGAATACCGGTTTTTTATAACAGGATGTAACTCAAGAACAGCCAGATGGAAAGGGTCATCGGGCAAGTTATGGGGAAGGGGCTCAGAGCTTCAATGCCCTTTCTGGATGCACCACGTTCCCCAAACCTCCATGTGTTCACCAACCCAGCTTTCTGAACCCTGTGCTTTTGGGTTTTTAATGGAGGCTTCATTATATAGTCATAGTAATTAAGTCATTGGCCACTGGAGACCTGGGGGTGGGACTGAAAGTTACAACCCTCAGATCACCTGGTTTGGTTCCTGGCAACCGGCCCCTTCCTTAGGTGACCTGGGGGGCTTTCCAAAAGCCCTGCATAAGCATAACAAAAGACAACTTTACTTCTCTCTTCACTGAGGACAGTCCCAAGGTTTCTAGGAGCTCTGTGACGGGACCAGGGACGAGGGACAGAAGACCAAATAGATATTTCTCATAGCACATGTCAAATACAGAAAAAAAGAAAATCTCCAGATTATCAGAGTCTGGGGAACTAGGTGAACCAGGATGGTGAGCGGATTTGGGGGCAGGACTTGGGTTTGGTGTTGGATAAGACAAACAGTGGGGGAGGGGGACCTCAGATGTCCCTGGGATGCGGGGAGGAGGCAGGAGCTCCTCTGGGCTGGGGCAGGGGCAGGAGGACTGTTTAAATCCACAAAGATGGATGGAATTCCCCAGGGAGGGGATGTAGCTGAAGGGGCAGCCCAGAGACCATGCCGGGTGGAGGGGAGGTGTGAGGTGGGGGGTCCAGATTCAGGCATCAGTGACGCGATTAGCAGTGACTGCCACCACTGGACACTCCAGTGTGGGAGGGACACTAGAAGGCAGCAGCCTGACCAATGGGCAAGGGTGTCCAAAAAGAAACCCCCCAAAACACAGAGCAGCCCTCACCATCCAGTTACGCAAAGGGTTAAACTGCAACCCACCGCAGTCTGCCACAGACAGTTTGCCCTGAGGGGAGTTCAGGATATAAGCCACACCTCCGGAAGAATTTCTATGACCCCGGATTCTTGCATCTTCCCATACACAGAAAAGCACGAAAATCATTAACTTATCTTGATGTCTGTTCTATGTGATTAGCAGTCATTTTTTACCAAGATGTATGCTTGACTGTGTCCATTTCCTAGCCAAAAAAATTCATGTATCTCCTGGCTCCTTCCCGACCTGGTCCGGAGCAGTTTACTCAGAGATACGAAGTGGCTGTTTCTAGGGCTACAGTCCTCAGTAAGACCCAGAATAAAAAACTCACAGCTCTCACGTCACGTGGTTTTTCTTTAAGCTGACAGGTGTGTGACAGTGGTTAGCCTAGCCTAGACCCCTCCAGGCTCAGGGGGCCCAGACCGAACAGACAGATGGACAGGTGGATGTGGGGACTTTTGCTCAAGGGGCTGCTCTCTCTAGAAAAAGAGCCTTGCCAACAGACAAAGCTCGCTTGATCCCAGGCACCCACTGGAGCGCAAGGGCCCATGCCCAGCCTGGAATTCCTGGCCCCACCTCCCAGCCAGAGCCACACCCACCACAGAGCATCCACAGCTGGCTCCTCAGGGACCCTTCTGCTTATCAGACCGCCAGCTAGAGCTGGGGCCAGAACCCAGGAGTCCCAGCTTGTCCCCCACCCAAGGGTGCCCAGATTGGCGTCCACCGCAGCTGTGGTGCCTGCATGTCTTGATGAGCTTCAGGGATGAGTGAAAACACACAAGAGCAATGGCATTTCAAAATCCCAGGCCCCTGCCCATGTCCCCAGCCTCAAAGCCCGCTATTCACTGCCTATTCCCACCATACTATGTGATTTCACACACCCCAGACTTCATAAATGCTGCCTTCTGCCTAGAATGCCCAGCTAACACTTATTGCCCCAGGCTGGGTGCTGAGGACACAGGATAGTGGGGAACCAAGCAAGGTCTCAGCACTCACAGGGCTTACCTATCTTTCTTGTCTGGCTGGCAAACTCCTATGCATCCTTCAAAACCCAGTCCAGTCATCACCTCCTGGAGGCACGTCCCAAGTGCCCCTACCTCAGATCCAGTTAAAGCACCCTCCGCCAGCTCTGCCTCATTCACTGTGACACTGGGAACTGGCTGGGCAGTCTTTTGGGAGAGTGAGAGTAGAGGAGGAAGGAAGCACGATGACCCTCAGCTGAAGCCGGCACAGCCTTTTCCGGCCCCAAAGTCAGACAGGGGAATAGAAACGAACTTTCCAAACCAGAGAGCCCTCCAAGGGGGCTTCAGACCGACATGCCCTGACTGCAGAGGTCCCGGCCCTGGGAGTCCTGTGCTCTCTAACCTGTGTCTGTCTGATCCCCCAACCCTTTCACCCTCTTGGTAAAGAAGAGACGCTGAGGTCTGAGAAGAAAACAGGGTCTGGAATGCAGCAGACTGGCCAGAGGCCCAGCTCCCACGCTCGAAGCCCCGGGTGCCTGTGTCTTCTCCCACCTCTCGGTGGGACAGGTGCCCTCCTTGCGTTGTGGTTGAGTAGGCCGCATGTGGAGCCTGTGGGCAGGGTCTGGCACACAGAAGGGGCTCTGCCTCCCCCCAGCCCCTCATATTTAGACCCACTCCTGCCCTCTACACTCTGGCCCTGTTGATACACTCCCTTCCCCCAACCAGCTCAACTCACTGCAGGGGCTGCTTGATGGGCTTCCAACTCATCAAGCTCACTCCTGCCCCAGGGCCTTTGCACGTGCTTTGTCTAACCCACCAAGTTCACTCCTGCCCCAGGGTCTTTGCATGTGCTGTGTCCAACTCACCAAGCTTCACTTTCATTTTTTTCTCTTTTGGACCCCAGCTCCTTTGCTCCTTCCCTGTGATACTCTGCCTCTCAGGGCCTCAGCTGCCCATCTGAAAAACAGGTACAGCCAGATCTTCTGCTTTACCGCCTGGAGACTCAAGAGGCCAGGCAGTTTGTCAACACTCCACACCGGTAGCTGGATGGATTTGATTCCTGCAACGTACCTGTCATGTGACCTCGAGCAGGTGAACTGGCTGCCCCATGTTTTAGTTTCCTCATCTGTAAAATGGGAATAGCAGTAGCCCCCTCCATGTCGGGGTGGTTGGGAATGATGCCTGGGGTGGAACGGGCACTAAGTAAAATCATCAGCAGTAGAGAAGAGGGGGTGGTGGATGGGGGGCAGCCTCGAGAGCAGGCTGTTGGGCTGCGGCAGGTTCTAGGGGGTCCTTCCCGGAAACCCCCAGCCTCTGCAGGCTTCCGAGGGCTGGCTTGGCTAAAGCTGCCACGGGCTCTCTTGGAGGATCACCAAGTGGGCGAATCAGCCTGACCAACCTGAGCCTTCTTCCCAGTTACCCCGTCCTCCCCACACTCCCCACCCGGTTTCCCAGCCTGGCTGCTTTTTGAAGGCTCTTTGGCTCTGCTCCCAGCCCTGCCACCTGGGAGCCAGACTGATAATCCTTCTTAGTGGCTAAAAATACCCCCAGATTGGGGGAAAGAGAGATGAGGGCTTTGTGCTGATCCGGAGAGGGGGGAGGATGAGCAAGGATTCCTGTTACTCCCCAAACCCCCAAGGGCCCCAGCACTGCCCAGCGGAGCAGGTCTGGGCACCTCGGTTGTTTTGTTTTACTTTAAATCGAGCTGGAAACACAGGACTTGGCCGGGTTGTGAAGAAGGAAATCATTTCAGACTCCAGATGTCTGGGCCGCCCAGGGAAGAACAGCTACACACACACTCACCCGGCCCCCGCAGCCTGGCCTGCTGCCCAGGGTCACCTGACTCCTGTGGCTGGAGGCCCAGGCAGAGAACACATGATGTGCTGAGCAGGGGTTATTTGTAGATAATCGCAGCAGCCACCCCTGCACTGGGCCCAGGCTCCTCGACTCAGGCCTCTCTGAGAAGGTCCATGACGGGTGCTAATGCCCAGAGATGCAGCTGGTCCAGGAGACACTGCCATGCTGCTCCCTGCAAAGAGCCCAAGGAGGGCCCCGAGTCCAGGGCTCTGCCTATTCCCAGCCCCTCATATTTAGACCCACTCCTACCCTCCACACTCTGGCCCTGTTGATACAAACCCCCTCCTGCCACTAGATCAATTCACTGCAACGGCTGCTTGAAGGGCTTCCAACACACAAACTCACTCCTGCCCCCAGGGCCTTTGCACATCCTGTTCTCCCACACAACCCCTGTCTAGCTCTGTCTCATTATTCACATCTCAGCTCACCTGTTACCTCCTGAGAGAAACCTCAGATCACTACCAAAGCCAGTGTATTATGCCATCTCCTTACCCTGCTTAGTTCCTTCAGCCCTCTCATCCCACTTAATCTGTTTTCGTATTTACGTATTTGTCTGCCTCACCCAACGGCATAAGCCTCGCCAAGGCGAGAATGCTGTTTAGTAACCGCTGTGTCCTCAGACAGGGCCTGGCACAACATTAGGTGCCAACTAAGTGTTTGCTAAGTGGATGAATGAGTGGGTAGAAGAGACACATGGACAGGTGGGTGGACATGAGGACTTTAGCTCAAGTGGTCGAACTTTTTAGAAAAAGAAACCACCTGCTTTAATGGGCAAGGTGAGCTCAGTCTCCCTAAAGTAGGTTCACTGTCTCCTCCTTTCAGAACTCAGCAGACGGAGGCTCAAAGCAAGAAGCAGCTGGATGGAGGTCACCGCATCAGCAAGGAGAGAACCAGGGCTGGAAGCTCGGGGAGGGAGGGGGCTGTCCACCAGCGGGCTCAGGGCTCACAGGACCCCGTGGAGGCCTCCCAAGGCCTGTCTGCCTATCAGGGTTTCCCAGTGAGCAGGGCACCAGGAAGGTGCATATGATTTCCTAACTTTGCTTTCTTAACTCCTATGCCGGCTGGCAGGCTCAGGGGCCTGGGTGAGCCTTGGTGAGGGCTGGCTGTGCCCACTCCTCCCCAGAGCCGGCTCCCTCCCTCCCACTGCCTCCGCTCCAGCCCAGCCCCTGCACCAGCCCACAGCAGGTGCTGGGATTCCCGAGAGCTTCCCCTGGCATCCAGCCGGCAGGCCTTTCCACCAGCTTCACTGGGCCAGTTCCGACTAGTCTTTAAGACCTAGATCAGATTCAATTCCTGACTCAAGAGGCCGCCCCACCAAGGGCCTCTCTTCAGAGCTTTTGTTCAGCCCTAGCTGGCCTGGCCTGGCAGAGCTTGGAGAGCGAGGTGGCTGAGTCCCTCCTCCCTCCCCCAGCCTGGATGACTCAGGTCCCCAGCATCACCTGGTGTGGGTGTGTGTTGCTGGTGGGGTCAGTCAGGGCGGTTTCAAGAAGGACTGAGGCAGGAGAGGGGATCAGGTCTCTGGAGTTTGAGGGGGAAACGGCAGGCACAGCCCCTGCGGCGGGCGGAGGCGG